TCATCCATAATGGAGAGAATTTCTAAAAATAAAAATAAAAAGGATATAATGTCAAATTCATCCAAAGACTTTCATGAATCTAATTAAAGACAACTGAACATAAAATCTGCACTGCATTTTTTTATTTTTATTCTTGAGGATTCAGAGATGTGGTTTTACAGATCAATGCTTAGAATACCTTGAGCAGCCAAAAAATCAACCAAGAGGTTTTGAAAGAGGCGGGAGCCCGAAGACAACTAATCACATACATCAGAAGGAGTCATCACTTTTGGGCCATGTTATGAGAAGAGGGAAAATGGAATATGTGGTGACCACTGGAAAGATCTGTGGAAGGAGGGATAGATGAAGACAACGAGAGAAGATTCTTGACAGTCTTGTTGCATGGAATGGAGGTGTGTCAGCACACAAACTAATACATGCTGTAGGAGATCGCAGATTGTGGCGAGGCATATTCACCCACGCCAGTCAGAAAGGCACCTGATGTTGATGATGCACTCTTCGTATTTGTATTCGGCCGAATAGTTGGTCCCCCTATTTGTATTCGGCAGAATATTGAAAACCACTATTCGGTAAAGCCCTAATATATATATATATATACGGAGATACCATAATCTTTTAAGTGCTTAGGGCCTCTACTGATCTTAGTCTTCTCGAGTCCCTCCAGTGAAATCTACTTGGGTTCAATTTCAGGGCAGACGGTTTACGTGTTAAACCGCTGACGTGCTTTTCGAACCACGGTGCAAGGATCGCACGGTGAATACAATTGTAAAGTCAAGGACCTTTTCCCAAGCCTTTAGACGTATTGTGTATGTAGGGTGAGATCTATATTTTATAGTCCAGACGGCACTTGGTGGGTGGTGTGGTTAACATCACGCTTTACTTTCCAGGTCTGTGCCTGGTACTCATTTAAGACTGGGTCGACCTGGGTGCCACGGTCATTTGGAAAAAAGTCCGGCCCCTGTCAGGACCCGAACCTACAAACTTCTGATCCGAATGAATGAAACTGTGGCACCACAATTTCATACAGATAGCAGTGGGTACAATGCCACCAACTTTCATTGTGGCATACGAATTTATTTCTTTTTAAATCTGTGTAGTCATCTTTATCATTATCTAGTTGTGACATTATATGTAGTCGGCGTTTACCGGCTGTAAAACCTGGCGGAAAGACCTGGTTATTCTAGCAATTAACTTGGTCATTCCCTTGTGGGGCGCAATAGTTCGTTATTTTTTCGTGCCAGGGGCCGCAGTATAGCCCGGCCATAAATATGGTCTAATGGCTGAACGCGGTTTCCTCGTCCGCATGGTGACACTTTGTGTCATCGGGTGTTTATCGCTTGTGTGATGTCCTGGTGGAGTAAAATGTACTACTACTACTGTTGCCACTACTACTACTACTCCTGCTGCTACTACTACTCCTCCTCCTGCTGTTGCTACTACTACTCCTGCTGTTGCTACTACTACTACTGCTGCTGCTACTACTACTACTACTCCTCCTGCTGCTGCTACTACTACTACTACTACTGTTTGTTCTTTAATTTCTGGACTTTGGCTTGTGTTCCAAAACCTGAGTTTTTTGTGTGAATCCGTATTTCAAGTCTTGCTTTTTTTGAGTGTGCAGACTGTTGGTCGCTTGCCTCTCAGGCTGATACACTCCGACTTTAAAGAAAGCCCCCAATTAGTCGACTCTTACGACATGCTTGTTTTCCCACAATGGAACCCCGTAACAGGCTCTGTAGCACCGGCGAGGATCCTGAAATACTTTGGGTAGATTTTCGACTCCAAATTTTTCCCGGCCAGCGCCGTTACATTACTCTTTTCGATTTCTAACTGCCGAGGGATTTTTTTAAAGTGCACAACAATGCACACGGGTGTCTGATCTCACTACCCAGAGACCAAGGGGAATTACTAGAAATCCAAGGGGATTGAACCCGGAACCTCTAGCACTCGAGGTGGACACCACGTGTATACAGTTTTTACTTCTGTCATCTGACATTCTTTTAATATGGTATGCTATGTGATTTCTTTAAAAAAAAAAAAAATCCAGTGCATTTCCTAATTCTTTGTTTTCAGTGCTCATAATTATTCAATAAAATGAACAAGACAACGAGGTATACAAAAGACACTTTAATAGATTGCAACATTGAGCAAATAAATAAATAAATGTTATATCTGGTTCACCGGTCTAAATCAATTTTAACTATTATCATATGTTATAGCATCATTGAGTTCTGGACTTAGTTGCATGTTTATATCTAACAACTGTCTTGTTTACAGTGAACTTTTTAGTGCTGTACAGTTGTAACTGCTTAACAATTTGAGAAAGGAGACAAACAAATTAGCTGTATGTTCTTTCTCACGAGTTGTATAAGTTGATTTTAATTTCTTTAAAGTTCTGCTTGATGCCATCTTTTGCCACACTCTGTGATCATTATATTTCTTCAGAACGGCTTTTATTGGCAGCTGGTTCAAGGGCATTCTCGTCACATCAAAATATTTTCTTTATTCCTTACGACTGTTCCTATAATTAGTGCCCATAAAACCACCCTTTCATCAAAATGGTTATTACAGCAATATGAGGGATATTTGGAGTAAACAAGGCAGGTCGAGAGAGGGATCATGATGAATGGGCAATATGTGGTCTCCACAATACTGTCCAGGCTCTGTGCTACGGAGAGGTTGAAACATCTGAGAAGAAACAGACTAAACACAATTGTTGACAGTGGTCCTGAAAACCCATGCTGTAACTGTCAAAGACTCTTCTTAATGAGGACAGGTCTCGATAGTCACACTCATCATCGCCATGGGCAGTAAGTCCCATGTCTCCTCATAATGCAATATAACACTTCTGTCTGGAAAGACAGAAAGGTTTCAATTGAATGATGGTGGAGATAGGTTGGTTTTGGAGTCCACCAGTTCAGTTTACAGGCGAGACATTTAAAAAAAGACAGATAAAAACTTATTTTCTTTATTTGGATCTAGAACCTGTTTTCACATGTTAGAGAACTGTGTTCCAACTTCGCAACTCCCCACTACCCCGTGTGGGTTCCAGAGCCCCAAATAGGGTGGGGAAGGGGGTGAAGATGTGAGAGAGAAAAATAGGTCCACTGAAACCCCCTCCCCTTCCCTCTTCCAACAGGCATGTCATAACAGATAAAAAGCGACTAATCAGGGGTTTATGTGACAGCTGGAAAGAAATGGTAGCTCTAGATTACAACAACAACAAAAAAATGTGACATTTTGAGAACAAAAGTCTTAGAAGAATACTAAATCTCCACTGGACAGATTTCAGATCCAATACGCAAATAAGACAAAAGACCAAGCGAGATATTGTATCAAATTTTATAAGAAGGCGCCACTGGAACTACACTGGCCAGGTACTTAGAATGAATCAGACCAGACTCCCCCATCAAACCCTCATATGGACACCAGACGGGAACAGAAAACGGAGAAGACCAAGAGAGACTCGGCATAGAATATTATCAGGGAAAGCTCTAATAAACATGCAAGACCTCAAACAGGTGGCAAAGAACCAACAGACATGGAGAGCTACGACCTTTGCCCTATGTGGCACCCTAGGCTCAAAAGGAAAGACTAAATAACTAATCAGGGGTTTGCTGCAATCACATGTGCTGGATTAAAAGGTGCAAACATGTCAGCCTACTTGTGAACCATAACACAATGTGCCAGCGGCTCTTTTATGGGCAAATGCAGAAGGAGAAGAAACTACCAACTGTTCTCAGTATTACAAAAGATGTTCAAATTTTGATAAAACAACTTTCTCCCAACTCTCAGCTTGTAGACAATCACAGATCAAACAAGCTAAACAGACTGTTGTCAAATCCTTCAGTTTTATATTTGTCCTTTATGAAGTTATATCTTACCTTAACTTGTTATTTTATATGTCCTTTCTGGAGTTATATCTTACCTTAACTTGTTATTTTATATGTCCTTTCTGGAGTTATATCTTACCTTAACTTGTTATTTTATATGTCCTTTCTGGAGTTATATCTTACCTTAACTTGTTATTTTATATGTCCTTTCTGGAGTTATATCTTACCTTTACTTGTTATTTTATATGTCCTTTATGGAGTTATATCTTACCTTTACTTGTTATTTTATGTCCTTTCTGGAGTTATATCTTACCTTTACTTGTTATTTTATATGTCCTTTATGGAGTTATATCTTACCTTAACTTGTTATTTTATATGTCCTTTATGAAATTATATCTTACCTTTACTTGTTATGTTATATGTCCTTTCTGGAGTTATATTTTACCTTAACTTGTTAACTACATAAATGAATACTTCAGGACAGATAGTGACCAAAATATAAATATAAATTATATCCAGGCATTTTGATAATATCCAACATAACAGGATTAACAGTAGAATATAAACATATGTACACACTGATAGATCCATTAGAAAGATGCATTCATGAATTCTGTTGTATACAAAAATAACAAGCAATCACAGACTATTTGGTATAAGTGAAACGTTCTGATAATTTTTTGTTGCGTCTATCATGAGACAGACTGAAATACAGGCAGACTTACAGACAAGTATACTGATCATCTGAAACTTGAGAAGACCATGTCCAAATCATACTGGATGTTTAAAAAAAAAATGGAGGATGTTATACTCCACTCCAGATTTTAGTATAGTAGATTCAAAAGAATCTAGGTAATCTAAGTACTCTGTGGTGAAATATACAGTGTATCAGTGGACTGTGTATTTCAGTTCAAAAGATTTATTTCTGTGTTTCATAAATTCTGTAGGATGTACTAGAAAAGATATAGTATAAACTAAGGGGATTATGTACAGCCGTGGGTTTCAAACAAGTTAACTCAGGGGCCTAAATTAAATCAGTGTTCTCATTGTTTAAATTCCTGACAGAAAAACACTGTTTTGAATTCAGCAGTTTGTTTCTTTTCCCAAACAGTTAAGCAATAAGTTAGGCTAAGCAACTATATTGCTTGTCAAACTGTTGCTTGTAGCCTATGTTTTATTTATATGTTTTAATATGTCTTCTATTTGCTCAACGATTTCTTGTTCATGTGCCACATGAACTATGTGTCCACCTCGAGCAAAAATCAAACATCTTGTCAACCATCCTTCAGGAACTGTGGGGAAAAAAAATAGTATAGTAAATATATGATCGGGTAAATTACAGTGAGATATGAAATTATAATTTACAACAAATACTGTTAATAAATAGGAGAAAGAAAGTTCTTAAGAGCTCATCATCATTAATCAGCCGGTCCTTTACAGAACACTGCTCTCATCACAGCTAATTCTCCAGCATTATTTGTTTTTATAGTTAGTGCATTTTCAGTGTCTTATATCCACATTCATGGAGGTCTGCCTCTGCCTGGAGAAACTGTACCATCCAAGACCATTCTCTCCAGACTAATATGATATTTAACATGGTCAAAATACCCCAGCTCTTGGGGACAGGATGCTGTCCATGAGCCAATTCTCCTTAATTCTCAGATCATGCAGAATGCTGATATTTTTCTTCTTCTTGCTCCATGGTAATCTAAGAATTTTTTTAGTTCAAAAGCTCTGACTTTTTCTTCAATAACTGAGTCCATGACTCACATATACATAGGATGCCAAGGGAAAGATGAGTGGTCACAGAATGTTTGCTTGCAGGTGCTATGCCATAGGTTCTTCATGCTGTTTACTCTCAGCTAAAGCAAGTCTTTTTCTGACTTCTTTTGTGCTGTCGCCATTGCTGTTCACAACTGAGCTTTAATATTCCAAAGCAGTGGCATCTTCAATCTCATCGTTATTGATTTCAATACACAGCTGGTGTGCTGTACTTAGTGTCGACATTATAATTATAATTTTTGTTTTCAAATTGAAAAGATTTTCTTCTTCACTGTAGATTTTGACTGCAAGAATTAAGCCTTCTAAACCCTGTACGCTGGTAAAAAAGAAAACTGTGTTGTCACAACTGAGGAGTACCTAAACATCTTTCATCATCATCATCATCCGTTAACACTCCATGTCGTTGGGTCACCAGTTTCAGTTGACTGTCTGATCAGCTCTCTCCACCTTTGGCGATCATCTGTGATGGACTTCATGGTTGCATGCCTGAGTCACAAATATACAGCTCAGCACCATGGATGTCCAGTCATCAATATCTGTCAGGTTCTGTATATTCCTCAGTAAGGTTTCTGTCAGTTCTGAAAGTATGATGACATCAAAGTTATAAATCAGCCTCCGCCTGGCACACGCGACTCCAGTAACCCACTCTAACACGCTTCCAATGGAGGAAGTAAACGATCACATCTGGTCACTATGAGTCAGTCCTAATGCTGTCCCTCCTACTAATGACAGGCTCCCAGCCATTCAGTCAATCGGCATGTAGGTCCACTTTAGCTTGAGATGTCTCCTCTGGATCCATTGTGTTTGTGCCTCTTCTGTCATGCACCATGGTCTTCACTGTAGGATGGATTTTCAAGTCAGGAGACATACCATCTGAATGGGCCAATTTTACCCCATAGATATAAGTATACATAGGGCGCTCTAAGGGAAACCACATCAGATCACCATTATCTGACAAAGGTGACTAGGGAATCTGGCCAATGCAAACTCTCACATGAAAGACCAGATGGACATACAATCAGACTGTTACAGATACTTTCTCTGGCTCCTGAAGATGATAACGGAGCACATGAGTGATGTCCTAAGTGCCAAAATGTTGGTTCCTAACTTAACTTAACTTATTTCAACAGAGGCGAAAATAACAATCCTAACCTGCACTGTTTGTGGCAGCTGCACTAGCCGAGGGGCTCTAAATCTTCAGGCTCAAGACCTTCCTATGCTACACTGCTCTCACAAGTGATAAATACCACTAGTTAAGAAAGCAAAACAGATCAACGGAACAGTTGTTTAGTTGTGCACCCTTCACAGGACACTGCAGAACCAACGGCAGCATTGTTTTTGGCTGCTGTGGTTTTTCTAGGTGCATTTTACATTCAGTTGTTTGCACTGCTTACTGAACAGTCAGCTCTTGGTAACACTGCTGAAACCAACGCAAGACAAACCATCCGCAGCTGGGAATGAACCCGTCACCCCGGCATTACAAAGTGCATTTGCAATGCCTTAGCCACAGATGCTGACAAAGGGAACTGCGAAGAAATAAATATTCCTGATACACAATGTTGCTGGTTTTGCCAATAAATAAATGTATATGAAGCTATTTACCAAAGAAAGGATTTCTGCTTGGTGTCTTGTCATCTGTGTACATGACTGTGTTTTCCTTGGGGATCCCCAAAACATTGTAGGCCATGTCGGAACAGATTACAGGCTCCACTATCTTGTCATTCAGGGCATAGGTGAACAGGACAGGCAGTTTTCTACTTCTCACAACTCCTGCATTCAGAGGAACCTGGAGAAAAGAAATTAATAATCATAAATGCTCTACTACAGAACACATTGCCTGTCTTTTTTATAAAACTTTCCTAGTTTTTAGACATAAATAGAGGGGTGATTGCAGATGAGCTGATAGCAAGAAATGCTAAATATAGCACAAAATGTGACGAAAGCTCAACGGAGGGAAGGGAAAAGGCGCAAACACAGCCAAATGTTTCAACCAAAGTATTTCAACAGAGTACTATATCTGTTGTGCTGTATTTATTATTCCGTTGATAATGATTTTGGTTGAAACGTTTGGTTGTGTTTGTGTGCATCTTTTCCATTCCCTCCATTGAGCTTTCTAGTCACATTTTGTGCTATATTCATATTTAGACATATTCATTACCAGGATGGGCTTGAACGTTTTCATGCCATTACAGTTTTGGTGCCAGCTCTTTTTCTCCTTACCTTTGCAAATAGGCATTCACCATCATACGTCAAACTTTGTGTGGATTTGTCCTCAAAAAGTTACATTTTGCATCTATGGAATGAGGCTCTCACTGTCTAACATCTAGCTTTGCACAGATTTGTCCATGAAATATTGCATTTTGCATCTATGGAATGAGGCTCTCACAACCTCACATCAAACTTTGCACAGATTTGTCCATGAAGGGTGCATTTTGTATCTAAGGAATTAGGTTCTCATTTTCTTACATCAATCTCTGTTTAGATCTATCAATGAACCATTGCATTTTGCATCTATGGAATGAGGCTCTCACTATCTAACATCAAGCTCTGCATAGATTTCTCTATGAAGGGTTGCATTTTGCATCTATGGAATGAGGAAGCCAGTCCCATACCAATCCTATTTAGTTTCATCTGATGATGTGCATGAAAAACATCTTTGTTTTTCTAATGTTCCCTAGTAACATACAGGCATTTATATATATATGTGTGTGGGTGTATACACAGAAACACATACAAACATGCATGCACACGCATATATTTGACTATTATGGCTCTGGGGTCAACTCAGTCTCATATAATGGGTAAGAGATTATTTCCTAGGATGTATATCAAACCTCACACTTCACATCCCAACAGCTCGTAACACTTAACACCCCCTTTTTTTTAATAAGAAAAAGTTGAAATTGAAAAAGATTAACTTAACTGCACCCGGTTTTCTCATAAAGCTTGGTCTCCCTCCGAAGAACGGCCTGCCGAAAGTGTCACGGAAAGCATGGACACCATATCTCCAGCCAAAATCAACAAGTATCTCTATGAAAACCTCACTCATGAAATAAGGGATGTGTCAGTGAATCGACCCCTACGACCTTCAGCTTGCAAGGTGACCACTGCGCCCATTTTTAAAAGAAGAACATTATGAGTATTTTGATGATGATTGGCATCTTTGCGTCTTTCCAGACGATAGTGTTATATTGCACTATGAGCAGGCATGGGATTCACAACCTAGTGTGATGGCGAGTGTGACTAGCAAAAAACGCCTGAGTTAAGAAAAATCTTCCAAAGTTCTAGCATGGGTCTTCAGACAGTTGTTGTCAACATTTGTGTTTAGTCAGTTTCTTCTCAGACGCTCAGCTCTCATCTTTTCTGCAATCATTTTTTCCTTCATTCTCATTCCCTTCCTGATGTGCCCCTCATAAAAAAATGTCCATAGCATTTTGATCCCACAAGTCCAACTCAATACCTGTATCATTCATGTCCCATTTGCACACATCTTTATATCATAGTAGAGGTCAGCCTCAACATCTTCTACCCGTCACTAATTCATCATAGAGGATGTAGCAGTGAGTATTTACAGCTAACATAAAACTTACATTTGCAAATTCTTGTTGGGTGACATACTGCTGTGATGCAATCAGATTAATTCCATCACCATTTGTTGTTATACCTTTAAATCCTAGCAGAAGAAAAAGAAAGAAAGTACATTCTTTCTATTATACTAATGAATTTATCTTTCATTAAACAAAACACACACACACACAAACACACACAAGTTAGTTAGATAACTGACCAACTAACCAATTATCACACATCTGACAAGTCTGTAAGTATTTGGATCCCATCTTCAGTATCTCTTTCAGTGTGTGCCGACTTATAACAGTGTTGTGGCTTAGTTGGTCTCTTATTCCTTTTTTTTTTTGGGCAACATGTAAAGGGTTCATGTCCGGCAACACCTCTATGACATGAAGTTCCTGTAGTCTTTTCATGGTTGCTGATTCACCATCATCTTCTGAATCATCTACTCGTCCTGCCTCTTTGACTCACTGCCTTGCTAACCTATAACCTTGCTAAAAAAAACAAGGTGATTAATTAGGGAAGTTTCCTTCAAAGTCACTGCCTGAGAGGTGAGGAACCAACAGTCCGTATACAAACAGGCCAGACCTGTAAATAAAAGGATACACAGGCAAAATTCAAGTTCTGGAAAAAGGATCAAAATCCAGAAATGGACGATCAACTAGAACTTTTCGCTATAGAGTACAGCTACTGAACGCTAAGAAAGAAGAATTCATAATGAAGAGGACTTTCTCAAAATAAGTAAACCTTGCCTAAAATGGGTACCTTGAAAATCTCCCAAGAAGTAAAGGTGGCAGAAGTGACAATTACCACATCATCCACTAAGTGCTGATAGGATAAAAATAACACGGCACTGGCACCACATGCCAAATGTGCCACAAGGCTTGAAATAATTCTTCATTTCACACCCCAAAAAAAATGTAACTTCTATTAAATACCCAAAACAAAACCTTTTAAGGTTTTTTCTTCTGTTTGCTTGAAATAGACTGGTATCAGCCCAGAGGGGACAAACTACTGGATTGATTGAGGAGTGAAGAAATGAGAGAAATACCTGGGCAACCACTGGCAACAACAGTATTAAGATAAAGAAGATGGTGCTAAACTGGACACATCCTGAGAAGAAAGCAGAAAATCACCAAACAGGCACCAAAATGGGAAATAAAGGGAATGAGGAAGCAAGGATGTCCAAAAGAAACCATAAATGTTCAAAGCTGAATTAAGAATTGACATCACAGCACTGGGGACACTCTCATAAGCGCTCAGTCCCCATCTTCAGCAGCAAGCGAAGAGTTCCAATTCCGATGGTATCAGTAACCGACTGCCTGAGTGTTGAGCGTCGGCCAGATCCCCTGTAACTCCTCACAGCACCATTCTCCTTAGACCGTAATGATCTATCTGACCCTCCTCACTGTTTACTCACTCCCAAAGGTCCCTCACAATATATGACATGTCATACACCAATTCACCACCAAGTGGTGCAGAGCCAGCCAGTCTATCTGCCTGCTTATTTCCCAACACACCGGCATGACCTGAAGAAAATATCCAAAGAATGCTAACTACCCTCTGAAGAGATGCTTGCCACTCTGCATGAAGCATGCCTGTCTCCACCTTTCTCAACATGCTCTGTGAGTAAAAAAAAGCCAAAAACAAATGATGAAAAGGCCCAAAAGTGGTGGACTGGATTCCATCCATGATATCGAAGAGACTGCATACGACAGAATGGAATGGAAGAACAGACTGTGAAGCCTTTTGTAACACATAATGGCGTAACAGGACAATGATGATGGTGATGATGATGATGTTCTAACTTACTCAAAACACAATTCATTAAACAAAATACTTGAAGGTAATTTTACAAAACAAATACCTAACATTTTATAGACGTAAGCCAGAAAAGGTTTGATAATGAGCCTTCCAAAGGACCAATGCAAAGCAGCTGCAAATATCTTTATCAACAGAAAACGGTCGTAAAGTCCTGGGAACATGTAAAAAAAAATCATGATTATTTTTAAAAGACTGATTCTCTCATAATATATCAAATGGCCTGCTGTCACTAAGAAACATATATAAACATAACGATTCATATTCTAAACAATTTGTGTTGGTTTGTTTCATGCATTTTACTAATAATTAGAGACAGTGTCATGGTTCCTCATTTCACATGATCACGAATCAGGACATTGTTCTTGTCCAACCTAAACCATCTAACTCTTTGTCTTCCCCTTTCCTCATTTTTTAAATACACCATCATCATGTGCTATGCAGCTAAGCGTAGGCTGTCATGTTTCATCATATCACATGATCACAAGCATCACAAATCAGTACAGTGTTCTTGCCCCAGACAGACCATGTAGCCAAACCATCTAGGAATCTATCTCTTTGTCTCACCTTCCTCTTTTTTCAATTCATCATCATTACATGCCACGCAGTAAGCTTAGGCTCTCATGACATGCCATCTCACACGATCACAAGCATCATGGATCACATCTTTGTTTTTGTCTCACACATCCATTAGTCCAAGCCATCCAGGTATTTATCTCTGTGTCTTCCTCTTCCTCTCTTTTCTATCAATCTTGACAGTTCTAATAACCGTTTATGTCCTATTTATCCATCAGTTTAGTTTTCATCTGTCTTGAGGAGGCCTCTTTTTTTTGGGGGGGGGGGGGGGGGGGGGGGGGGGGGGAGGGTTCGGGGGAGGGGGGGGGGGGGGGGGGTTGAGTTGTTTTAAGTCATCCCATTACATTCTTTGCATTATTATCTTCTTCTAGTTTTTATTTTTCTTCTTAGCCTTCACCAGCTGTAAGCCCAGGCGGAAAGCTTCTGGTTGTTCGTCATTTTTTTTTTTTAGCACTCAAGTGTTGTTTCAGAACTTGAGTTTTGCTTGCACATCCATTTTACAGGCCTGGCTTATCTGTGCGCAGACTGTTGGTTTCTCCCCTCTCAGACAGATGCACTATGACTTTGAAGGAAATGCCCCTAATCATTGGCCTTTTATGACATGACAACAGGCTTGGGGGGGGGGGGGGGTATGGGTCTATTCTTTTCCTCGATAATGGGGCCCTGGAACCCACATAGTGAGACAGTGTACAATAAGAGCAAGAGAAAAGGAATGCCGGAGACCCAGTGCAGCCAACCTTTATTGTGGAGACAGCATCTGAATACTTTACTGACTATATATGCAGTAAAAAACAAAAATTACAGAGCTGCTACAGTGAAAATTACCAATCATATGTCAGAAGGCAAGTCGGGTAGAGTATGGCTTTGAGCTGGTCAAGAACTAACTGTGAACTGCTCACATTGACTAACCTGTTTGGCTTATGACCTCCTGGATTAATGCCAAAGAGGCATCTAACATTCTCCCAGCTAGCCCCAGCTTTGTACATTGTCCAGGCTCCAGCACTGTGCCCTACCAATATGTCTATCCTGGCAAAACAAAACAAATAAACAATACTGAAGCAGCTCCTTCTACTTTGTGTTAACTGGTTGAAAACCCGGGGGGAAAGAGCTGGTTGTATGTCTATATACGGACTTTGGTCATGTTTAAACCTGAGTTTTGCGTGCACAGATCTGGATTATTTGTATGCAGACTGTTGGTTCCTTGTCTCCCAGGCAGATGCACTCCAACTTCGAATGAAGCACCCCTAATTAGTCGACTTTTTGTACAAGCTGTAATTCTTTTTTGCCCCTTCAGTGGGGCCCCTGAACCACACTGGGAAATATTCAAGTATGTTTACACACATTCCAACAGAATGTGAAGTCGTTTGAAGAGAATTTGAGGTTAAAGAATTCTTCACACAAAAAGAAAAGTAAATTAAAGGACCCTTTTCCCCATTGTCACAACCATGTGAGTACAGTCAGTGGCCGAATGGACCACACCGTAGTGTGTGCGTGTTGAGGCGACACCCCAGGGTTGACACAAAGGTCAGGGCCGTGACTGGTCAAGTCTGTTCTGTTATTGCACGGTGAAACCAGCGCTCAGGAGAAACCGCTTGGCCACGACAAGAAAGGGTGAACTCTGTTGCAGACAAGTTCGCAACACGATTACCCCCTTTGGGGACTGAGCTGGTGAACGGGTCAAGAGACACGAGGTGAAAGGAACAGAGGATTCGGTGTGCGACGGTCAGACGGAGCAGACGTGTAGCGAGACAGTGATAGTATATTAGAGTTAGGATATTTGTTTAGTGAATGCATAGATTATTTACAGTGTTCTGTTAGAATAGGATAGTCTTTTGTGCTGTGTATTTAACTGATACAAGGTATTGTGTTGGGCCCTAAGAGGTAAATAGGTTCCAGTTACTTCTGACCAGTTAAATCGTTTAGGTGCATGTTCTGTGAGAGAATGTCTAGCCTTGTCATACTGATCCTGCACTAGACAGAGGCGGTGACGTCTGGTAGGTCAGCGTGGCGATAGAAAAGAACGTATCTCGCCGTGCTGTGGTTTGTGCACCAGGAGATTGCCTGTAGAACGTACTGGGGAACGAGGTGATTGTAAAGCCCGTTCGGCCAGAGGGTCCAGGCAATAGGTGGCCACACAGCGGGAAGTCAACTGTCTATTGTATTACCTGTACTTGCAATAAAGATTGTCTGTGTGCTCTGTGTGCATTCGGGTTTAGTGTGTGCCAAAGGTTAGTTTGTCTGTCATAGGCCCAGTTAAGAGCCACGGACCAGCAAGGTCACCCAGAGGTCTGTGACACACACCTTCAGTCGTATTCGGCATAAAGGGATAGACCTATATTTTATACACCAGTCGGCCCCTACAAAACTTTTGACCATCATCTCTTTGAGACTAGAAGAATGCTACTCCCTCCGAGACCAGACAAGTGGAACACCTTGTATGGAGGAACAGAACATCTTGTAAAAACATGTAAATCCCACTACATGGCATTGGGCCAAAGCTTATTCGCCGCTGGATCGATAATAAAAACAACAACATACACCAGCCGGCACTTGGTGGGTGATTTGGCCAACAGCATGCCGCCCGCCTTTACTTCTCAGGACTGCACCTGGTACCCACTCTAGGCTAGGTCGACCTGGGAGCCAAGGTCATTTTAGAAGAAAGTCCCTGTTCCATGAGGGCCAGAATCCACGACAATTCTTCATATAAGGTCACCAAAATTGAGAGTAGCATACCCAGCTTTCTCCCTTATCCCCATACATCATCACCATCCAAATGTGCCTTATATGCGACGCAGCCTAAAATGTTAAGTTATGTTATCACAATTAATGACACTGCAAATGGAGCATTACTGCTCAGTCATCCAATGCAGCAGCTGCTGCAGGGTACCTCGACTGATTGTTCCCATCAGAAGTTGGGTTTAGTGTCTCCCATCTTGATCTCAAAGACGGCATCAACGTGTTTCACCAGGCTCAACTCCGAGTTCATGTAATCGTATTAGCATCAGAGATTCAAAATTATCCTCCAGCCTAGTTCATACAGCGTTGATGATATCTGCTCTGCACTGAACATGCAGGCATCAGTGTAATACTTACCAGCTGATTCATTACCTTTAACTCTGTGGCATGACTAAATGTGCAGATCCAGGTGAGGGTGATTCAATACTATCTACTCATTCCGAGCAAAGGTTGCCTGTGGTGATCTTCTGAAGCATCTTCATGGAGCCTGATATGATCACTGCATATCTGGCTGGCTGTTCTGCTGTTCATGCAAGTGCTCTAGAAGTAACTGTTATCTCCATGGTGATGCTTGATGTAGCTGCCTGTTAAGTGCCACTATCCTCATTTATTGTTTTCCCCATCATGTTGGGCTGTATGCCCATGTTGACCTTGACCCAAATTCACTGACCCATGGGAGTCACCATGGTGTAATGGCTAGACACTTGTCTGCGGAACCAAAGGTCGTGGGTTCAAATCTGCATGGAGCTGGATTGTTTTAGGTAAGGTTCCCAGGTCGACCCAGCTTCAAATGAGTACTATATGAAATTTGGGGAAGTAAAGGTGGTCCGCAAGATGTTAACGACATCACCATTCAAGAGATGATAAGTCTATTAAAAAAATTAGTCTAGCCTCATATACCCAATGCACCACTGGCGTGTAAAGTTAAGTGCACCAGCCACAAATATCAGTCATGAAAATCTGATAACTATAACTAGACTGTTCTTCCATGACAGGTTGCATTTTGCATCTATGGAATGAGGCTCTCACTACCTCACATCTAGCTTTGCACAGATTTGTCCATGAAGGGTGCATTTTGCATCTATGGAATAAGGCTCTCGTTGTCTTACATCAAGCTTTGCACAGATTTGTCCATGAAGGGTGCATTTTGCATCTATGGAATGAGGCTCTCACTACCTCACATCAAACTTTGCACAGATTTGTCAATGAAAGATTGCATTTTGTATCTATGGAATGAGGCTCTCACTGTCTTACATCAAGCTTTGCACAGATTTGTCCATGAAGGGTGCATTTTGCATCTATGGAATGAGGTTCTCACTGTCTTACATCAAGCTTTGCACAGATTTGTCAATGAAAGATTGCATTTTGTATCTAAGGGATTAGGTTTTCATTTTCTTACATCAATCTCTGTTTGTAACGCTGTCTGCCTCTTGCTCGCCTACCTTGAACCTTTACCTCTAGGATGATCTTTACAATACTGTTATGTCTTTTAATGTGACCAAAATATTTCTCTTGTCTCTTTTTTATTTCACCTAGCAACTCTCTTTTCATTCCCAATTTCCTCAGTACCTCTGTATTTGATAGCTTTTGTTTCCATGAAATACGACCTAATCTTCTGTATATCCACATCTCCAAAGAACTGATACGATTTTCCAGTTGTTTGTTCATTGTCCATGTCTCTGTGCCATACAGTAAGGTTGAGAATACATAACATCGCTACATCTACTTCTTTTAAAACTTAATTTAACATTTTTTTTTAATTGTGTAAATGTGATGTCTTCGGGACAAGAATGCTGATCTATCAGTGCCGCCAAGTGACATCTCAAATGTGTCCTGAAAGGCTCTGTGAAGTGAAGATGGCTGGCGCGATGTAGACCATAACAACTATCAAGTGCTGATGGGTCTAACCAAATAATGGAGCTACAATCATATTCCCCGATTTACTTCCAAGTGTATTCTTCTTCTTCTTCACATTCAACTGCTATAAAATCTGGTGGAAAGTTCTTGTGGTTACTCCACCTCTGGACATTACTCTTGTTCCAGAACCTAAGTGTTGCGTGCACATCCACTTTACAGATCTAGCTTACTTGTATGCAGACTGTCGGTTCCTTGCTTCTTAAGCAGATGCAATCCGACTTTAAAGGAAGACCTCAATTAGTCTACTCTGATGACATGCTTGTGGGGGGGGGGGGGAGGAAGCGGTGGGTCTATTCTTGTTTTTCCTCGCACTGGGGTCCCAGAACCCATATGGGTAACTTCCAGGTGTAAAAAAGGTCCAAAGTTGCTTAATTACCTGTGGATATTCATAGCTTCAAGAGTCAAATGCAAAGTTTTTGTTCTTCCTTCAGTAGTGAAGTCAACCTTGCTCAGCTGGTCCAATGTGATTGGACTACCAGTCATTCCTTTAGTTTAAAATAAATAATAATAAATAAAAGTATGAAAAGGCTTAAAATTAGAGCTTTAAAAGTGTCAAATAAACCATGCCATTGTCTTGTAACCTGTCAATACTGTCAGTATTGTTGTTAAGGATGTCAAGAGTGTTAAACAATTGACCACCCAACTTTTGACATTCACAAAAGAGAAAAAAGCTTTCTGTTATGTTTTTTGATCAGTGAATGGCTAGGGAATATTGAGAGATTGTCAGATGACAAAGAGGTAAAAAAAATGTATATACAAGAGAGCTAAATGGTAGTAGACCATGAGGCAGACCAAGAAGAAGATGGAGAGATAATGTCCAGACAGACCTGCAAACACTTGGTGTCACTAACTGGAAAGAGAAGGCCAACCAGAGAGATGAGGGGAGGCAGGTGACATCTGCAGCAATAAACCCTCAAGGGCTCGGAATGCTGAAGAAGAAGAACAACAACAAGAAGGGATGTAACCTATAGAAATACACTGGCTGGGTCAAACTAAAGGAATAAACAAATTCGACTGAATCAAGCAGTGAGGAAAAGACATTGGTATTGCACAAGATAAACATTGAAAAAACCTGGAATCTCATAACTAGAATGTCCTTGCATCAGGACTCACAGATATAAAAGCAGACTAAAAGACACAAAGAGGAGATGTTGAAATGCAAAGTGTAATAAGACAAAAAATGATGTGGGCAAGACAGACATATAACCAGATTACAAACGGTGCTATTGGTATTGGAACTCTGTGCTGGCAGCTGAAGATGAGGATGTTGATGGGAATGCTCCGAGTGCTGTGATGTCAATTCTTGACTCAACTCAACTCAAAGTGATGTGGATATTTCAGTTGAAAGTAAACATCTTTATGCTTCATTACATGTTGATATAGACTTTGTAGCAGTACACCTGATGAGGATGTTGAGATATTCCAGGCAATCTTCTTCTTAGTGTTCACTGACTGTGCAAACTCGTGCAGAAAGTTCGGGTTAGTTCCGTGTCTTTCGGGCAGGTGCACTAAGACTTTGAAAGAAACACTCCTAATTCGTCAACTTGTACAAAATGCTTTAGGGGAGGGGATGTATATTTTATTCCCTCAAAATGGGGTCCCAGAACCCACATAGGGTATTCCAGGCAATAAACTGTACAATATATTGTTTGTGAGCTATTTTTTAACCCATCATTTGTAAAACAAAGCAATAAAACTGCTGTAAGCTGATAACATCCAATTAAGTTTTTTTTTGGTTGACAGTGTGTGGAAGGGGTGGGGGGAGGGGAGAGGGCCGCAGAAATGGATTACCACTACCTATAATTGACATTCTTTGGTCATGTAATGAGAAGGAGAAAACTGGAGTACATTGTAACAGTAGAAGAGTTGGAGGGGAGGAGAGGCAGAGGGAGACTGAGAGAAAGATGCTGGACTGTTTGACATCATTACATGGAGGATCATCTGTGTCAGAGCTGACTGAAAGTGCACGAGACAGAAGGTTGTGGTCAGACGTGACTACCAACGCACTTGGCATGGACTTAAGCAGAAGAAGAAGAGAACTGACTGACACAGCAATAGTTTTACGCGTCTTTTCTATTTGCTGGGGCAATACACAACATAAACCAAAACACACTTTTTAATCAATGAACTCCAATCCAAACTGAACTTTCTGAAATCCTAAAGAAAATGATCTTTCCTACTTTTGATGTCAGCGTATATAGTGTGACTTTGGTTCTTGACTGTAAGAATACTGCCAACCAACCACTTCTGGCAATTTTCATCTCTGATTTACTGATTTAAGAATTGACATCTAAGCACACTGGGCATACAAATAGATGCTCCGTCTCCCACAGCAAATGACGTTAGGTGTAGTTGCTACCTGTTCCCATAGCACATTGATTATACACACACCGATCTCTTCCTCTCATCCATCCCTTCTTGCCAGATCCGCACTTAATTCCTCATTTACACATTCTTGCCCATGTTATCTCATCTAATCTCGTGTCTTCTGCCAAAAATTATCTGCCAAATTTTCATCTCACGATACTTCTCCCTCTCCTCCTTCTGAGTTCTCCCAGATGACATTTAGAGCTGTCATGTTCAGTAAGGCTGTGATGATATCTGAGCCTTATGACCTGACATATGTCAGCTAATCCCTGACTAGTCATATTTTACCTCATGCTTGTCAGTGGGCAGTGATTCTACTTCCCTCCCCCTCCTCACAACAGGGCCTTGGAAATTCTATGGGCATATCACAATATAAGAAGATGTGGACAGGCACGATTGGTCAGGTCAATTGGCAAGGCACTTCACAATGCTGATGAAGATAAATACAAATGACCACAAAATAACATACCCAAGCTTGTAGGAGCAACAAGACGAATGCCTCTCTCATGCAACTTTCTTGCAAGTGACTTAAAGTCATTTCCCGTACCAGGGCAACCATGAATAGCCACCACAGTGCTTCTCTTCTGGTCAACATCATCTGGGCAGGTGTCCAGAACTGAGACATTAAATGTCAGCATTTTTGCTTTATTGTTCTTGCTGCACTGTTTAATTGTCACTATTCTGTTCCATTCTTGTTTCTCTCGCCTCCCAGATGCTGCTGTATGTGAAGATGTCTTCATTATCATTGTCTGCTGATCTGACATGGTACCACACAGTTTGCAGCCAGGTTTTGCCACAGAATATACACTGTGCTCTCTAATTTGTTGTAACTGAGTCCTTTCAGTTGGTAATGGTCTTAGGATAAATTTAGCCCGCTTCAGTTTCAAGAAAAAATATATTTTGTGACCTCCGACTGTGTTGAGTGATTTTGAAGCAAACCTGAAATATATAAAAAAAAAAAATGTCTAGTGATAATCAAATTTCCACAGAGGCTAGAATGAATGAATGAATGAAGAACTGACAACACGACACTTGGAACATTTCCGCATGTGCCTTTTTGGGTAAACAGGTAACTGCACTTCCAACTACACAGCAATAGGTCAGCCAATAGTTGCACTGCTCCTGAAAACAATACACCAGTTTGTGCTTTAATAATATCCTACCCCAAACAGGTAAAATCTACAGATCACGGAACAGTCTAATATTTCAGGGGGGTGGTAGGTAGGCTGCATGCAGTCGTGGAACCTAGGCTGCATGCAGTTGTGGGACCTAGGCTGCACTCTCTCGTTGGACGTATGTGGGTTGGGGTTAGTGTCAGTTCTAGATGTTTTGTGGTCGTTAAAAGCATCAGAAAGCCGGTAAACCCAGTCTTACCTCCCTCTTAAATGTTGGACTGTCCTGTGACGTCATCGGGGGTAAGATATAAATAAAGAACCATACAGAATGTCTACCACTGTCTCTGTGAACAAACTAACACAGACTGCAGTCCCAGCAAAGCCATTTGCATACACACACATTATATGCACAAAGCATCCATCAGAAGTGCCAATACAAACTGTCTGGCACTAGAAATGCAGTTAACTGTCAATGGAAGCAGCAGTTACAAGAGATCAGTAGTTGCACACATAAATTATCACATAAGGCACCACCAGTGCTCTATAATATCATGCCTCTCACCCTTTTCAGAATACAAATGATGTTGGGCACAGCTGAAGTGGATTTCAGATTAAATCAGCAGCTCATAGTGTCACACCATGCACTCAATACAGTAGCTGAGCGACTAAACTATATATTTTCAGTACATATATTGAGGAAAATGCAACAGCTACGTATTGTCAGAAGCACAAACTTGTCGTAAGAAAAAACAGTAAGCCTGCCTTTCTGCCAGTTTAGTACCCTTTCTCTGTAGCCAATGAAGCATTCGGCTCTCCTCCGAATAACGGTCTTAAATTATTGAGGCGGAAAATATACCCTAACAGGGCCTCAGTCAGGTGTCAATTGCGCACTTCCGTCATCTTAAATTGCGCACTTCTGGCGACTTCCGCCACCGCCGAGAGTATTCCAAACGCTGCGTGAGCGGCGTGGATTGGGGCTAAACTAGATGGATGGGACTCACGAGCAGCAGCTACCGCATCTCTTGCAGCTTCCTTCATTTTATTTACTCGTGAGTCCTAGCCATCTAGTTTAGCCCCAATTTACGCAGCGTCAGTGGCGTGTGGGACACTCTCGGTGGTGGCGGAAGTAGCCGGAAGTTTTCAATTCGGCGGTGGCCGTTATATTTCCCAGAAGTGCGCAATTGACACGTAACTGACGCCCTGTTAGGGTACATTTTCCACTTCAATAATTTAGGACCGTTATTCAGAGGATAGCCAAGCATTTCCATACTGACAATGCCAACTGCAACCATGCAGCTTATAAGGAAAGTAAAGTATTTCTTCTCATACCATGAGCTGTAAATAATGTTTCACACAAGGAATGGTCAAAGTAATGCCTGCGTTGTTTTTTTTAATCTATGTAAATATTGTATCAGTGTGCAATTTGTAAATTTAGCAGGATTTCTCAAATACTCTTCAGCAGTGCAGAATATTTAATTAAAAATCAACATCATAGCACTCGGGACACTAGCATGAGTGCTCCATCCCCATCTTCAGCAGCAAGCGAAGAGTTCCAATTCCAGTGGTACCAATAACTGTCTGAGTTGTACACACCTCTCGCCTCTTCCTTGCATTCTGAGCATTGGCCAAATCCTCTGGTATCTCCCCACAGTGCCATTCTCCTCAGACTGTACTGATCTCTGTGTGCCTCCGCACTGTTCACTATTTCAAAAAGGGCCTTCACAACATCTAGCTTGTCATACATCAATTCACCATCAAGTGGTGCAGAGCTGACCATTTATCTGCCTGCTCGTTTCCCAACAAACCAACATGACCTGTATAAAATATCCAAAGCATGCTAACTACCCGGGACCAAGTACTGTAAACCTGCTTCAATAATAGATGGCACCACTGTAATGGTTCAAAAACTGATTCCAAAGACGGTTGGTTAAAACAACATAATGTCATAGAATTCCTCAATGCTATTACTACTACTATTACTATGGTATCACTACTGCTAATAGTAATACTAATAGTAATACTCCTACTGCTTTTAGTACTTTTACATCATTACTGCTATTAGTATTACCACTACTGTACCTACTATTACTGATTAGTATTGCCACTATTATTATTACTACATGTAGTACTATTACACTACTACAACTATAACACTTCTACTACTATCAGCACAACTGATAAAATAAAGCATATTTTGAGAAATGATATAGCAAGGTTTAAATTACTATTGGCTATTCGTAAGAGTGACAAATTAATTAATAATTTGAGAGGAAGAAGAAGAAACTGTCACATCTCCACAACAACATACTTGACTTGCTCCAACACTTGGCGTTAGGCTATTCAACTTAACTGCCTATAATTGCCTGTCAATATACCCCCCTGAATTCAGAATTTACAACTTCAACGAACAATACGCCTATTATTCCCATTATATTCTCAACGCTTCATTGATTATCACAACAACCTGTTTTGTTCGAAACGAACAGCAGACGACAATCTCCGAGCTCCCCTCCCACCAGAGAACCTGTTAAAATATCCCTCTTTAAGATAAATAACCCTGAACTCATTGCATGTTTTTCTTGCCTGTAAACAATTTCCTCATGTTTAAAATACAAACAGCGGGGCGTATATAACTGTAACATCGATCTTGTTGCAGATAAATGACTTGGGTTTCTTGCCATTTTTCTCTTGTGGCAAGTTTTCCTGAGACCTTGAACTGCGTGAACTTTACCTTGCGTCATTTGAGAAGAACTTTAACACGAGGTTCAGAGGTCAGAATGGTTCTTCCCCCCCCCCCCCCCCCCCCCCCCCTTATTTATTGCGAATAAAACAATTAAATGCAGAGGTTCTTGAGGAATGTAATTAAAAAAGGGCATTACTGAAAAGACGAAATTTTAGGGTACAATAATCAGGCGCACAGACAGCAGGGGGGCTTTGCAGGCACTCTAAGCCCCCCCCCCCTTTTCCCCCCCCAATCCCCTCAATGTCTTCGCGAGGCGGATTCGGGGAAGGACGCTTAGTTCGCCCATGCCCTAAAATTGTGACGCAAAAAAAACCATCCCCCATCATTGTGAAAATGAGCCGAGTTGAGTTAAGAATTGATATCACAGCACACGGGGCAATCCTATACGCGCGCCGTCCCCAGCCTCAGCAGCCAGCGCAGTTCCAATACTAATGGTGCCAGTCGTAGTCTGGTTGTATGTCCGTCTTGCCTTTCCTCTGAGCGTAGTGTGCCGACCGAACCCTCTGGTCACACCCAGGTGCTGTAAAAATGTGAGTTTGGTATTTTATGACCATCAGAGGGGGGGGGGGGCTGACACTGGTGTCTTTCAGGTTTTTTTTTAAAATTCACATCAAACACTTGAAATCCCTGAGGTCCCCGGAATGTCCAATATTATAAGTGTGTTAAAGTTATGGTTAGTCGGTGTTCATTTCAAACTGTAAACACCCCTATCTTTTTTTACTTTCCGAGGAACGCAAGGATTCTCATATTTTTTGGGTGAATAAAAAATACAGAACCGACTTTTATTATTACATACTCACTGAATTGTTGATTTAAGAACCGACGTCACAGCACACAGACAATTCCCATAAGCGCCACCCCCCCCCCCCTCAGTTTTCAGCAGCCAGCACATAGTTCAAATTCCGATGATACCAGATTTGATTTGATTTGATTCAAGAACCGACATCACAGCACTAGGGACATTCCCATAAGCGTTGAGTCCCCATCTTCGGCAGCCAGCGAAAAGTTCCGATATTAATGGTGCCAGTAACATTCTGATTAAAAGTTCGTCTTGCTTTTCCTTTGAACCTCGAACATCTACCGGAACCTCTCGTCACTCTCCCCCTGCATCAATCTCACCAGACTGTGGTGATCCATCTGCTCTTCCGATCTGTACACGCTCTCCCATAAGGCACTAACCACGTCTGCCTTATCATGTATCAGTATTCCACCAAGTTGTGCAGAGCTAGTCAGTCTTTCCGACTGTTCATTTCCCAACACACCGGCATTCCCTGATGAAAAAATCCAGACAATACTCCTCACCAGTGTCTTCCGCAGCTTCTCCCTCTTCTTCTTCGATCCTTCTGTCAGAAAACTTATATCAGGAGGCCGGTAGCCTTTATGAAAGCTATCGTGCAATCCATATCCTTTCGTGTACCATACAGTTTTGTCTTCAGTGTGGTTGGAACAGGCCAGATTGCGTCTCTGTTGTCAGCATACAGTTGACAGTGTTGGAGCACATGCTCAGCATTTTCGGGAGCCACGCTACAGGGACACGTCTCCGTATTTCCTACACCGAAAATTTTGAACATATGTTGACGAAATCTGTTGTGCCCAGTCCTTAGTCTGAATATAATGCACTGTCCCTCTCTAGAGAGGCGGTGAAGTGAGTCTTGGGGAGAAAATCTGGTGTGGGTATCCAGCCACCTTTCTTGGATACTAGATTGTATTAATGTTTTCATCTCTTGGTGGGTTAAGTCACTATTTGTTTGTACCATGTCACTGCCGCTTCTGGCCAATCTGTCCGCTATTTCATTGCCTTCCAAGCCACAGTGACCTGGAATCCACTGCAGTACAGATTGTTCTACTGAAGAGCCTAAGTAAATCAGCTGTTGCGTCAAGTCTACAAACTGAGTGTCTTTTGGGT